CAACGCTCTGTTGAATGTGATATGGTCGGATTACACAACACAGGAAGAAGCAGCGAGTGCATCTAAGACCACAGTAAAAAAGAAGGGTAAATCAGGATCATTCATGACGGTATCGAATCTGTATCGTGAATCGCTGAATAAACTTATGACAATGCTTCATAAAACCCATCCGCATTTCATTCGATGCATTATTCCAAACGAAAAGAAGAAATCAGGACTATTGGATGCTGCACTCGTCCTCAATCAACTCACCTGTAACGGTGTACTGGAAGGAATTCGTATCTGCCGTAAAGGATTCCCTAACAGAACTCTTCATGCAGACTACGTTCAACGCTATGCTATTTTGGGTGCAGTCGAAGCGAAATCAAGTGCCGACCCCAAAGAGTGCGCCGTCAAAATGTTGGAAAAGCTTGTCCGTGAAGGCTCGATGAAAGAAGAAATGTATCGCATCGGTCATACAAAAGTAAGTACATTTTGATAAATGTGTTCATACCTCAGTACTACGAATGAATTTGCTTATCCCTTACGTTGGTTCCAAGCTTGGATTGGACCGAAATTCGCTGCAACAGGCACAGAATGTTTTTTTACGAAGGTCAGATGTGCATAAAGAATAACTAATAATTTTAAGGTGACTAAATTTTTTGAACAATGAACAGTTGAGCGGTTGATCTGTAATGTTCATACTGAAAACTGAAACATTTTGTTTCAAAACTCAACGACACATTTCAGGTGTTCTTCAAAGCCGGTGTCCTCGCTCATCTGGAAGAACTTCGCGATGAAAAGCTCAACTATCTCATCACCGGTTTCCAGGCACAAATCCGACAGTACTTCAAAATTGTAGAGAATTTAATGCATCAATGTTTCATCAATAATACAGCAACCAAATAATTCAGTATTCCTTCACGGCCTGTCAGCATAATGAATGATTAATTTAGGAGTATTTAAACTCTTAATCTGGATGTCCTTCCTAAGAATGACGTTTTTTTCGGGCGCACTTATTCACCAATTCAAGAAACGAGTAGAAAATTTCGAAGATGATTTTTTTTGGTATTCCACCGTTTGTCTGCACCCTGTGTGTTCATGAAAATTAGTTGCCATGCCATTGTAAACTGATCTGTGCGTAGAGCATTTTTACTTGTGCAAGATAAGTTTTACCACANATACCAATCGTGAGAGCAAGCAAACTTGAGGAAACATTAGAAGAACTGAGAAGAAGTGTGGCCGAAAGAGAAGAGTTGGTTAAAATGAAACGGAAAGAGATTCGGAAATTCGAAGAAAAAGTTGATGAAACGTTAAAGGAGAAAGCGAGCCTCTTTGCAGAAATCAAGAACTCAAAATCCGGTAACACTGAGGCCGAAGAACACATTGAAAAGATGGCGGCTCAGAACGACGATCTTGAAAGAACGTTGGGCGAGGAGAACGAAAAACTGCAAAATGAGGAGAAGCGTGCTGAAAGCGTTTCTTCAGCAAAAGCAGATCTCGATCAACAAATGGATCTACTCAAGAAAGCGATGCGAGATAGTGACGCGACAAAACGGAGGCTCGCTTCAGAAAAGGCGATACGAGATGCACAGCTTCGTTCGTTGACGAATGAGGTTTCTCAACAACAAGACGATATTTCAAAAGCACAAAAAGAATGCAAAAATCAATACGATAAGGCGAAACGCTTGACCAATGAACTGAGGGAACAAACTGAAAAATCCAATCACAGCAATCGATCAAAAGCTAAACTTGAAGAGGCACTTCAAGCTAGTGAAGATGCGCTCGAGCGAGAAAGACGCCTTCGAATGGACACGGATAAGGCGAAAAGGAAGGTTGAAGGTGATTCGAGAATAGCACGAGAGACATTGGACGAGATTGATGCTCAACGAAAAGATATGCAGAATCGAATGAAAACCAAAGATACGGAACTGCACGCAGTGAACGTTCGCCTAGAGGATGCACAAGCCGGAGTGGGACGTGCTGAAAAGCAGATCAAGGAGGGAAATGCCCGAATCGAAGAGCTCGAGATGGAGCTGAGAATGGTTCGAGATGCGCGATTGCGAACTGATCGCAACAAAGCGGATTTGCAACGGGAAATTGACGCGATAATGGAGCAAATGAATGATCAGAGTGGTGTTGAATCAGTGCGATTCGAGGCGGCGAAGAAACAAGACTGCGAAATAGCAAGGCTGAGGCGTGAGCTGGACGAAACCAAAATGAAACATGAAACGGTGACTGCGGCGTTACGCAAGAAAGGAAACGATGCTGTATCGGAGCTGAGCGATCAGCTGTTCACGATAAAGAAAANCAATCACAAAAGAACGTGTTGAGTGTGAACGTTACAATAAATCCGTGCAGCTGAGCCTATCGGATATGGAGACAACGGATGCACAGCAATCAAGTCAACTCCAAGAATTCCTTTGTGTACGTGGTCGTTTGTTGGGCGACAATACCGACTTGACGCATCAAGTTCAGGAGTTAGAGGAACAGCTGAGCATGATGATGCGACTGAAAAGTGAGTGTGTTAGCGAGGCGGATCAAGCAAAACGAGCGGCACTCGAAGAGAGTCGTGAACGTCAAAATGTTGCAGCGCATGTGAGAAATCTTGAGATGGAGTTGGAGCAGTTGCGGTCTCAGTTCGACGATGAAGTGGACGGTAAAGTGGAGTTGAGAAGACAGTTGCAACGAACTGAAGGCGAGATTGAGCAGTGGAAAGGTCGTTTCGAAGATCAAGACTTACTGTCGATGGAGAGCGTTGAGCAGATGAAACATAAACAAGCCGGCGAAATGCTTGAATTGGAACAAACAGTCGCCAATACTGACAGCAAAGTGAGTGCGTTGGAGAAGTTGAAT